AATTTCTAGTCACGTCTCAAAATGTCCGATACCGTCAATGGAGTAACATAAAATTGGCCCATCGAGCTTCTGCATGCGTCGTTATTATCTGGTGACTGCATGGTACTCTTTGGATTTTGTATCAAATTATATCACCCATAACGGGCGTGTGTGAATACGCTAGTAATGCTTTTCATATCTATGATATCATTTTCATTCTTGTCATTCTTAATGATCTTCATACTGTAATTATAGTTGTATTTGCAATTTTAGCTTATCGCAATATACGCATGGCAAGGGTTCTCTTACATCAAAATGTCGATCAGCGATTGACAAAACTAGTTTTCTTTCAAATCGTTGTTACTTTCATGGGTCTCATTCCATTCGGAATCTACAGGACATACATGATTGTTGCAGCCGCCGTTCAAAAGAATGATGATCAAAAGAAGGAAGCATTGGCTTTCAATGTCAGTTTTCTTTTTGGTTCAATTATGTACGGAGTAAGTTATACCAATTGAAAACTAAATACATTTTTTTCTATGTTCTCAGTAGATGTTTTAGGGACGATTCTACATTTTAATGTGCACATCACCCCGATTTCATCGTCTGTTGAAGAATCGTATATTATTCCGGCGACGAAGAGAACACATTGTCTCCTCTGTAGCATGAAAACGATGGTATCAAAGACAGTTGTAGGTGTGTATAAAGGTAAAGTGTTTGTGCAAACACAAGATGGATTCATTTCCACATTCATATCTATACTCTATATTTTAGAAAGTTCAAACAAAGTCTGCGAGTAAGATTCATTCATCTAATTGATCAAAGATAAACTATAAAAATTATGATATTTTACGATTGATTTTTTAGATAATGCTGATTTATTTCGATGATGTTTATTATTATGCAGAAATTTGCAATCTATATTTTACTTTCGGTTGTTTATCATCAATATACTCAGTCAATAAACACATACAAATTATGGTGTGAAAGCACATGTGGTACTCAAATTTTTCAACCAGACACTAATGCTGAAATCTAATGTTTTCTTCTAACCAATCTATGTTCCAATCACTTAATTTCTGATATTCTTTAACATGAATCTCTTCAAAGAGCATGGCATACTATCATACTTGTTGACTAAATTTCTACTATTCTGATATTGCAAAATAGAAGCGTACATTATTTTATGGTTACATTAACCAAGTTTACAAACGATTTGTAGAAGTGATTGTGTAATCATAATAAAAATAAATACAATATAAATATTTTTAAATCGGTTAATACTGACTACAATATAAATTGCCTTTGAATAGTGCCAAAATAATCACTCATATAACTATGATAAGCATTCATTTGAAATAGTGATATGTGTGATCTCATGTCTTAATTATTAGTATAATGTAGTTTGTCAATGTAATCAACTGCATCCGTACATATCTTTATTTGAAGAGAAAATAATTTAATTTTAAAACAGCTCAACATATAATATATCTAACTTCGATTCTGAGAAAAATCATATTTCAGACATTCGTAACAGATATATGTATGTCTTATAAAAGTCAGAAAACAGTTTTTATGCCATATTGTGTTAATCAATGTTCTTTTCGTGTCTGATTTGAATAAAAAAGGACTATACAAATTATACAGCTTTTTTAAACGTCTGTCAATGTTTCTATTTTAATTATTGTAATTATATTAATCTTATGTTTTACTCGTATTCACATAATGCCATCACTTCTGAAACACCAGATATCGATCGATATTTCTTAATTATTGTGTTGATGAAACACAAAAATTTGGAAAATGATACTGCCAAATCAATCACAGTTATTTGTAGTATGACTTACCTGCATAAGTTGTTTTTGAATTGATCCGTATTCGATTTGATGTATTTTACTGCTACATTAATTGCAAGATATGCATTTTAACATATTTTAAAAAATATATTAAAACAATCTATAATTTTATCTCTCACTTTTTCGAAGAATTGAAAATATGGAGATTTTTGAATAATTTTCTGTGAATAACAATCAACTCTAAATTACAATACAGACTCATTACAACAAGCCTCATAGTTTTTGTTAAATAAAAGAAACATTTGCAAAATGTATACCTTCATGGGTTGAATTTTATACAGATCCATGACTACTTTGATTGTTTTTTTATTTTATTTAATAATAGAGTAGTGACCTATCCGTAAAATTCCTATACTTCTTCATTAAACCTTTAGTACTGTAAAAAAATATAGATTTCATAATGAAAAAAAAACTGGTAATGCCTGAAAGCCTTTATTGATTGTTTAAATTAAAATTGATTCTTGCATTTGTAATCAATTAGTTTACTTATACTAATCATTCAATAATAATCTGCAAAAAGTAAACCATTTAGTCATAGTGAGTCTCATGCTAGTATTCGCATTGTATACACGATAGTTCAATTATTCGTGGATCTGCAGACATGCCATAATCGTTGTATGGCATACAGGACATTTTGTCATACCATGTCCACATGCTAAACAAGTGACAAAATGTGCACAAGGCACAAAGGCGACTGCTCGATAACTTTTCATACAATCTATGCAAATATTGATTGTTGGTATCATCTCTTCGTATTCGAATGTATCAGTATCAATACACTCGGAAGTATTAACAGGCGTTGATTCATAATTATTTTGTTTAATGTTTTCCATGAAATCAAATTATTGCTTGATAATATCGATATTTATCTAGGTAGCGAAAATTTTCATGAACAAAGGCGAACGATAAAGTGAGTAATTATTTCTTACCAAATATCTGGTGTATCCTATGAGAGACAAAAAGTAATATGTCAGTATTTGTGCGCAAAAATATCTCTCAGTTTTTCTACCTAGTAAGAAAAAAGCTGCTTGGTTTTTTCTCAGTTTACTTACGGAAAGAATTACTGGGTTTTTTCCATGCTTACTTCGAAAAAAAAATTGCTTGGTTTTTTCCCAGTTTACTTATGGAAAAAATTACTGGGTTTTTTTCGTGCTTACTTGAAAAAAAATTGCTTGGTTTTTTCCTTGTTTCCTTGGAAAAAACCAGGGCGGCTCCTTGGCATAAATATAGCAACTGTCAAACATACATTCTTTGCATAAATGATCTTCATATTTACCACGTGACAACATGTAAAGGTACGTTTCTCTCGCCTTTTTCTTTCTAGTTTTAGAATGATTCATTAAGATTCGTATTTCAATTTTATGTAACCTACCATTATGATAAGTAAAAAAAAGGAGATAGTCTCATCCCTTTCTAATCTATTTATATAACAATTAGCGAGTTCCTGTGCACATTTCAGTCATTTATTTTAATCAACGAAAAAAAGTTTTTTCAGACGGTGAGCAAATAGCTCAAGATATGATTGAAGCTCTTACATCTACTATTTCAATACAAACTATATTGGAGCATAGATGTGTGTAGATGCTTTCGGGTGTCGAGTAAGTGTTGCATACAAGTGTATCGTGTGTCACTTCATGATATCCAATGCAATTACAAACGCATCCTTTCATATACTGAATCATATCAACATATATTCGTGATACAAGCATCCTCATTGAAACACATCTCTCACACTACGTCTACATCCAACACATGTACTTCAAACCCTAGAATAGCTCTTACCTCCCCACATGCTACATGTAGTCACATCATGACCTTTAACTTTTAATCCAGCTTCAGACAGATACGTGACATGATATATATGTATAGACAGATTCTTTGTTTACAAAGAACCTCAATCTTGAAATTTATTTATAGTATAGAAGTGTAGAATAAATAATATACTATACAAAAGTAATGATGAAAAAAATATTTACTCATCTACCACCTTATGAATACATGCTAGAGAAAAATACTTTTTTATTAGTTAATAGGATTTTTTTGTTAAATTATGTATTTATTCATATTTGTCACATATATATATATAAATAAATGAGTAGACTAATAGGGAAAAATTTGAATAACAAACTTGTAATGTTTTTCTGAACTCGTCAAAAACATCTTGTTTAAAGATGATAGTTAATTATAATCGGCTACCATTTTAATTGGTGAAAGAAATTATCGGAAACATCTTCATTTTAATCACAGTACCCTAAAGCAGTACTTTGTTTATAAATCATATCAATGAGTGTTCAGATGTGACTAAAGTAAAGATGTGCCAATTATCGTCCCAACTTGTTTTTAGAATAGAATTAACGGAATTCATATTTCCGATAATTAATGTTGCATGATAATTATGTTATTCTCCTTTTTCAGGTTCTTTTTTATACTTCCTACAACATCAAACAAGTATCATTGAAACATTGCTTTTACTGTAATATAGCTTGTTTTATTTCAACTTTAAAAAATGTATGAGAAAATAAACGAACAAAGATCATGGCTAATAAGTCAGTGTTGGGCCGAGAACAATAGCGGCTGGGATGACTTTGATGGCAAGCCAATCAGTTTGGAGGGAACAAAAGAAAATTTGTTTTTTTCTCATAGATCATCTAATCGGTTTGTTATCAAAGTTAATCGAATTGTTAGTGTTCTCGATCTTATATTGGACAATAGTGAGTTTTGAGTCAGCGGCCATAGTCAGAATGATTTCTACTCGTCAGGAGTCAAACGGAAATTGACTCCTGACATTTGAATTGCCTATTAGGAAAACAAAAAACTCAATTTAGAGAGGGCATTGATTCTGTCGCTAAACCAACTATCTCCTTCCAGAATAAAAGAGTATTATGTTTTATATCTCAAGATACTGTTAATGAAATTATGCAAAAAAAAAATTGGTGTTCGAAACATTACCATAACGAAAGAAACACTAATACTTGATATAATTATAAATGTCTTCTACACCGTGAGCAAAGAAAAAAAAACACAATTTAATATAATATGAACATTTTTCATGCATTGAATTTCTTTTGCATTTGTTTTTCTATATTGTTTAATTATCTAACATCGAAGATAAAATTCAGATATTTACATATTTTTCATCAAACTTCAGCATCATTACGTACACTAATGGAAGAACTTGGCACTCATCTTGCAAGTCGTATGCTTGCTGCAGGTTTTACATATATCATTAATGAAGGTATCGCTCGTTGCAGTGACTGTGGTCTAGAAGTTTCTCATTGGAAAGAGGATATGGATCCATTTGCTGTTCATTCAGAACGAAATCCTGATTGTCCATTCATTCGTTCTATGAATTTTTCTTCATCAAGAACTGTTCGTCGACGATCGACATTATCAAATGAACAAGAAAATTTTTCTAAGCGTCAAAAAATTGATTTAGAATCTCTGTCAAATATTGCATTTGAAACTAATTTAGTTCAACAAGTGCGAAGACGTACCTTTTCTCATTGGCCACATTCTACTATTCCATCAAGTGTACAAATGATTGAAGCTGGATTTTTTCACTGTAATATTAACGATCGAGTAATATGCATTTATTGTAATCTTATTTGTGAACAATGGATACCACACACAGATGATCCATATGAAATACATAAAGCACTTTCACCTGCTTGTATGTATGTCAAATCTAAATTGATACGCCCTGTAGATTCATCTATTATTATTGTCAATAAAAGTTTAACGGGAACTACATCAGGCAATCATTCACCAACATCAATTAATTATAGTCTATTACGATCTAATGATATTATGTTTACAGCTTCATGTAATCCTGCTTATTCAGAAATACCAAAACGCCATGCATCATTCGTCACATGGCCAAATGAAAATTTACCATTAGTCGATGATTTAGTTCGAGCAGGATTTTTTTATACAGGTACAAATAACATTGTTACTTGCTTTTATTGTAACGGATCATTACAAAACTGGAGTTCAAATGATAATCCAATGATTGAACATGCTCGTTGGTTTCCACATTGTTCATATGCTAAACAAATATGTGGTAGTGATTTATATTGTAAAATTCAAGAATCTAAACTAGTAAAACAAGGTATGTTTCGAAAATTAGAAAATTTTAAGATACAATTTAGTATCTTTTCTTCTCTAGAACATGCCGGAATCAATGAACTACAAGAAAACACAGATTCTCCTAACTTGTCAAATACTAATGTAACTTCATATAGCCAACAATTATTGATACCCAATGAAAGTATATTATCCAGGTTTGTTACTGCTCGATTAGATTTACCCATGTCACAGGATTTGTTGAATCAAAATTTCAAAATATTTATTATTAAACAATGTTGGGAAGATCAATTAAGAATAAAACGTGAGTTAATAAACAGAATATTATCTTTCGAGTATTTTTTTCAATATTTTTCATAGACGAGGATTTTGTATCTAAGTATGATTTGTTTATTGCTTGTGTAATTCTTCAAAAACAAATTGAACATATTAATGGTGGAAAAGAGAATATCGTCATACCGAGCATAAAAATGCAACAAATCAAAACACAAACAGAAAAAACCGGTAAATATTTTTCTAATCATACTTATAATAATGGAAGATGTCTATATTATCTTAGCTGAATCTCACATTCATAGTGTCGATATACTTTTAATCACTTATTCTATTGTATAATTTTCAGTTTTAAATAGAAAGGAATTGTTAGCGAAACCGTAAATTAATTTCGCATACAACTCTGTGGTTTTAAGTAATATTTATTGTTCTAATTCTAATTATCTCGCTATCTTTATAAGTTTCATGTAGATGTTGAAAAGTAGTTTAATGCCTTTTATAGAAAGGCCGTAATTGAAAACAATTCTGCCACGGTTGTTATATCATACACTAAATTGTAAAGTTAGAACATATCGTTTACATATTTGTCTTCTTGCAGTTCTCCTTGCGAGCAATCATTATAATACAATGGAAAATGTTTTTTAAAGTGATATTTGTAAGAAAAAAAGAGTTAAATAAATCGAAAAAGAATTATTTTATTTCAAAATTCTTGCCGTTATCCTTACTTGATGGTTTTCGTCTATTCTAAAAGGTACTTATAGGTTATAGTTGAACTATCTAACTGTTCGGCTGTCTTTGCGATATGAGAACGCAAACAGAAATATATTTTGTCTGAAGTCTATTTCTAAAAAACACTAAATAACTATCTAATACTTTTAAATACGACTAATCACAATAGAATGACAACACTTACGACAAAATGCAATTTTCTCAGCAAATTCTTGTTGCTTAAGGTTGAAAATCATAGAGTAGGCCAAGTGATAAAAGACATATCAACAATACAAAGATGAGTTCAAACGATGATAGTATAAAAAATAAATAGAAAAAGTAAAATCTGCCGTTTAATTTGGTTGAACGGGAACATATACTTACATCTTTGACAAGTAAACTACTTTATTATTATTTTTGAATAGTTGATGTGGTCGATTTTACAGAAGATATTGAAAAAACAATTGAACGTGAGCAATCATTCAATCGTTGGCCTCATTCGTCACCATCTCGACTCAACATGATGGCTGCTGGTTGGCGTTTGGATAGAACAAAAGCGAGAGATTACACTAATTGTTTATACTGTGGCGTAGAACATAATAATTGGAACTATGATGATAATCCTAGGAATATTCATCAGCAATTATCGCAAAATTGTTCTTTTCTTTGTTCATCACATCCAATGCAATTAAGTTCGGTCTCCATCAAACCTTTACATGAAGTATTTACAAGAGAAAAAATAGCTAATGACATAGTTCAACCAACTTCATCGTTTATATTGCATTCTAAATCACCTTATAGTCGTCCACCAGATCGAGAAGCATCATTTATTAATTTTCCTAGTGGATGCCCAACAAATATTGAAGCATTAGTGAAATCTGGTTTTTATTATTTGCAAACAAGTACTTGGCTTCGATGCTATCATTGCCGAGGTCTAGTTAATGATTTTCATCAGTATTCATCGAATGAGATTAATATTAAACATCGCCATCGATTTCCTAATTGTCGTTTTGCTCAATTGCTATCTGAAGAAAATGAAACAAGATCTGCAAGTACTTTTCATCAATATATTTATTAACAGATTATTCATTATAATTTATAATTTCTTCTTTTATTATTGTTTAGATAGGGCTAATGTTTGTCAATGGTGTTTTGTGAATGTCAAAGAAATTGTAGCATATCCTTGTCTGCATTTGACTATTTGTAATTCATGCAGTCAAATAATACATACATGTCCTATTTGTTCCAAAAAATCAGAAGCGTTTTTTAAATTGTTCCTGTAGACACTACAATATGCAAAAATGTATTGTTATTTTTTAATAGTCAGTCTTTATGATAATTGTAACTGTTTTATGTATTATGAAAAACTTTTGTGTCAAATGGTTTTTGTCTTTTATAATAAAATGTACATATTTGTAAACATTAAAACACCGATTCGTTCTATATGTCTCTATGTAAAATTAAAGAAAAACCGATCAAGATATTAACACTCATATTCATATAATCATACTCAATTGATTGTATTTTTTTATTGAACTATTGATAATTACTTGTAATGATATACTACAATATAATAACTTTTCCGATAAAATACACATTATTAAGAATGTTATTTCATCGCGAAGAAATGTTTGACAAGTTTTTATCAATAACAAGGATATTACACATCAGTGTGAAAATATTATTTGGATGTCATCTAGCAATTTAAATAGATAAGAGATCCTTATATTTAAGAAAAAAATTTTTTTCTTGGAAATCAACTTGTAATAAATCTATAACTGCTGGTTTGATGATAATTTACGTCACTTATTACATTGTTTAGGTTGTAAATAAAGTGACATTGTTTTGCTAATTGATGAATTAAATGTAATAGATAGTAATTTTCTTGAATGAATGAATATTTTATTAGCTAATGGTGAAGAAACATATTTATTCAAATGTGATGAATATTTATCATTAATAAGTTTACGTAAAGAAGATGTTCAAAGACCAAGTTTTAGTTATGTTCAAGATTTTAATGATGAATAGTATAAATGGTTTATTCCTATAATTTATTCAATTTGAATTGTAGGTGATTTATGTGATCGAGCATCAATTAATCTTTGTGTATTTGATTTGTTTAGGAATTAGTCTTTTAACGTATCTTATCATATTGCTAATGAATTAACTCAAAATATGTTGATATGCTAAAAGCTGATGTAATTCTTCTTTTTTTTGTCTTCTAAAACCAAATATTTTATCATTTGTTTTCCTATGTTGCTCCGAAATCATTAACTTGTCTAGTTACTAGTTTGCCAAAAGCAACCAACCCATCGTAATGTTATTCATACTTCATTTGCTTTTGTTCATCAATCATTACATAAATTAAATCATATATTACATTAGAAAAAAGTTTAACATATAAGACAATTATTATTACCCAAAGTCAGGTTTTGCATGCAATGCGGCATTTTATAAAAATATTTTATCGAAATATTTTTTTGCTTCAAATCATATTTTAATATTTTTAATTTAGAATAACAGCAGAAGAGCGAACTAAAATTGAAGGAACTTAAATGACTATTCTTGAAAAATTTATGAAACTGTTATTCAACTTAAACAACTACAAATATCATTAGCACAAAAACGAAGAGAATTAAACGCTAAAAATGAAGACGCTAAAAAGAAATTAATTAATTTACAAGAATTACAAATATCTTTTAACTGAACGTATCTTATGATAAGTTCCTTTAGGCATTAATCAAATAGTTTTACTGTTTCTTTTTCTAATCACAGCAATAAGAAGAAATAGTTGAAAAACGAAAAATAATTTTGAAAATTTTGGATAAAGTTGAATTAGAGTGTGTGTGGGTGTCGTCGATAGTCTCGGTATGGTGTAGAGTGCCGATGTGGTTGAGTAGAATGGATAGCTGTACGTGTGAGTGTGAAGTAGGCGTGGATCTTTTCTTCCGTGACACCTACATCCATATCCATACCCCCAGAAATCCGATCGTATCAAAAACAGTGTGTACGTATACTTTGCTTTGAAATGAGATTAACTGTTGATTATATCAGAAAGGTGACTGTGACTGTTTCATATGCCTTAGTAATCAGAACATTTAGAGAGGATCGAGAAGAGCATCAAATAATATGCCAATTAAAAGTAAACCGATAGAAACTACTATAGTAATGGGTAAAGTTATCAAGATGACCCTCATATCTTTAGATTGATTGTTTTTTTTAGTTCTTTACACTTCTCTATTCGAAAAATGAATGCCTCATAACTGATTCCTAGAGTTTGTTTTCCATCTTTGTTCAAAGATATATTTTGAGAATAAACGCATTGATAACTAATTACCCTCTTTTTTCATTCGAAACATTGTAAATATTTCAATCTTCATCCTTTCATTTATCTAGTTTTGTTCAGAATTAAATACTAAATCTGATGTTAGTGAACTCGCACAACCCTTTACCATGCAATGTGAAATGAACAAAGCCAATGTAGTTGACACTAAATTAAAACTTATACACAAGTAATCTGCCATAATGGTCGAAGACCGATTGGAGTAACATATAGTTAGCTGGAGGATGTGGATACAGATATGAACGGAAACGAGATTCATAGTCACATCCACACCCAGTAATCATGTTTTATCAAACACAAATTTGGAAAAGTGTTCAGCTATTGAACATATTCTATTGTACAATTAATAAGACAATACTTGAGAAAGCCTTTTCCGGCAATGATTCTAAAATCTCACCCGATGAACCAGTGAAATTTGTTGATGGATCTTGTTCAGACATGATCATTTTCCTAAGATGTACATCAAAAATTTTATACTGATGATGCTCGATTTAAATTCATTATCATGGATACGTATGACCCCTCGATTGGGCACTATGCAAAGTTTTTATTTCACTTATTTATGGTCGTTGTTTCCATTTTCATGCTTATTCGCACTAATGCCGATCTTGTTCTTATTATCATAATACAGAAGTCAAATTTTTATTTATTGTACTTCAACCAATGTCTATGGTACAAATATGATAAATAGTAGACCTTGATTGCGAACGATTAGGATTAACAAGGCTTAGGGTACTAATCACAGAATAAAAACCATTCGACAAACGAATAGTAATCATTTATTATTAGTATACTTCAAGTATTTGAGAGCATGTTGAGAAATGTTAGATAAATCAAAGCCAGAATAAAAGAAAAAGAGCTACGAAAAAAAACCCATGCCTTTGGGCGTAGACAAATAGAAGCAATGCTATTGAATAAAAAATAGAATTATATACGAAGTCTATTCATTCACTTTGATGTGCATGTGAGAATAAAGCATTATCATGCTTGTACTCGTTCTTGCTATCGCCTTTCTGCTTACTAATTGTGCTCATGCATATTACAAGTGTGACTGTTACTGTCCGTCACGAACAGAGTATGTTGGATCGGCATTATCATTTACATGTTCTTCATCGGCTTGTTCAACTGCTTGCTTAGGCAATTTTCGGCATTCGACTATGTGTTTGTCACCATTAACGACTTTCGGGTTAGGATAAATCAAACGCAAAAATTTCAAATTGAAAATGTTGGATGTATATATCTCTATATTCTCTTTTTTCAGGGCCTGTCGAAAAATGTTTAAACGAAGCAAGGCGCCTTGATAATTGTCAAAAATTCTTGTCTCAATGTCTTCTATTTTATGACTTAACCAAGAGAACATCAAATATATATATGTGATCATTATAAATTCTGTCTAATTTTTTTGTATTGATTAATCTGTTACATTTTTAGTGTTGATTATAGATTTTATGATTGAACAAATATAGTATACTGACTATGGGCTTAATTTATAATCATGTATTTGATACAAATACGACTCGAATTAGTTTTATATTTTTCACGAATGATGACAAAACTTTTATAGGAAACACTGCTGAGAAAGAATAAATAACACAGCCCATTTTATGATTTTTTTTCCAATAAAAGAACACGACCTATGAATGATCAGATGCTTTTCGTTAATAGTTTTTCCCTGTATAAAAAATGTATTGAACCAAGTTGTTTAACCTTTTCGCGGAAAAAAAACATTAGATGTTATTCAAGAATAAATGAGAATTTTAATTGATTGAAATGCTCGATGTTTTTCGGCGTCAGTCAATCTTGCCATTTTAAAGACTAAATTTCTTAATATTATACTATTATCGATTACTAGTGATTATTGTTTTTACTATTAAAATGGATTCATTACTAGCCATGAAAATATCATTGCAAGTTTTCTCTTCACTTCTAGATCAATGAATGAGTTCACCTGATGTGGTTCTACCAACATTCGACTAATAATATCAGTAAATGCGTTTACTAGGGTACATGTATTCAAGGCTGTGACAGAATAGTTGTCAAATATGAATGAGTGCATTTTTACATAATATCGAGGACAACAGAAATTAGATACTTGCTTCGTCTTCGAAGGGTAGAGATAGGTAGTTGAGACTACTTTAATGTAACACATTGTATTTAAAAGGACGAAAGGGAGGAATACGGCCGTTTTTTTCTTTCCGTCAAGTATTTATTTATTTTTTTTACTGTATTTAAATCAAATCAATGCACATGCATCATCACCAAGACGCTCTGAAAACTGCTTAGGATGTTCTAGCTCCTGGATATAACCAATCCAAAAGTGTTTCGTATCCCCACCAAGTTCGAGTCCAAAAGTTTTGAATCCTGCGAGTTTTACGACGACTCTCGATCAATATTTCTAGTCACATTCGTATTGCGATGTTCCCCCAATGTACTCCCTTTCTGGATGAATTCACGTATCACCCGCGCAAAAGCCTCAACTCTCAAGATTTGATACGTACAAGCTTGAAACATGAAGTCTTAGTTCGATTGAACCAAATTTTTGAGTTCTACATGTATGTTCAATTATGAGCATAATACATTTCATTTGCTAGAGGCTTTCTGCTTTCAATCCATATATTTGAAGTTTTTTATACACTCCACGTAGAGATTGACTCAGTTTATTATCGAGCATAAATCCTACTGTTTTATGAAACTTTAGGCCGAACGATCTATTGTCACTAATTTGTATGAAGTCTTTCGAATATTTTTCTGTTTTACCAAGGCACATGTTCATTCATTTGAATTTGTTTACTTGAGCAACCTCAGGTTAAGATAAAGATCTTGCGCAATAACAAAATCATGCTCAAGTAAGGTGTACAATCCTTCGGACAACAGTATCAAAAGACTCGCTTGCACGAAAGCGTCAGAACTTCCATGATATGGTTGTCAGCATTTGTCAATGTGGTATTACTTTACATGAGTATCGACTTTGTACTATCAAAACTAGAAAAAATCCACTACCGACAGTTCGCAACCTGCGCCATTCCATATGGTTCTACCAATAGTTTTTTCTCCACAAATGAAGACAGATGTTCTCAGGATGTGGGCATGAGTGTCTATATTTTACTCTCCCACATCCATATCCAAAGTAATGGATCGCAATAAATGCAATTTATTCATGATTATTATGTGAAAAAAAGAAGAGAAGATTACAAGTCCAACGTTTATGAATTATATTATTACAGACAAGGCAAGATCGCTCTTGGAAAGAGATCAGAAAAAATAAAGAACATATCGAGTTTTAACGTTGCATCACATTCGCCTTGAGCTGGTAAAACGTTGACTGTTTCAATTCGATCAAATATCAGTCTCAAACCTCCATATGTTTTAACTAGTTTATTCAATTCATTACCAAGTTGCATTCTATCTGTATTATTCTTCAATCTGAGAGATAATTCTTTCACATTTGGTGACATTATTAGCCATGTGATCAATGTTCTTGCATTTACTCCATCAAGATCACACAAGTTCATATTAAGATGCTTGACATTGGGTAGTAATGGAATTGTTCGTGAATTAAGTAACTAGAAAAGTAAAATAGCAAAAGAGTCTAAAAGCCAATATTTTTCCAACCACTATCACTAGGTGCAGCTCTGGACAACAGGTAGGTCTGACTCAGAATTATTCCGCTCAATCACTTAAGTTT